TGGTTTAGTTCTGACTCTGGGCCCCATCAGGAGACCAGAACCTGGTTCTCAAAGTCCGAGCTGGTTCATCCGGCTCTAACATGTCAGAGAGGTATTTTGGTGCTTGCCCATGAAGAGACTTGTACACAAGCAGCTTACTGCTTTCTCTTTTTCCCTCCAGTGCTGTGGAACACCAGCTCATGCTGCTGGACAGAGAGATCGAGAGCTACAAGAGGAGTTTCCTGGGGGAGCAGGAGAAGAACGAGACCCTGACCCTGCAGCTGAGCTGGTCCGAAATGGACTGCGGCGCCTCCGAGAAGCTGATCGCTCAGAAACGCGCCCGGCAGGAGGCGCTGCAGGCCGACTACAGCGCCTGCGTGCGCATCGTGCACGAGACCGAGCGCACGCTCCTCACGCTCACAAAGGTAGGTGCCCACTAGAGGCATTTTCCCTTTGTAGCGACCCTTGCTCAGCTTGATTTTACCTTCTCCAAAGGAGTCTGACACGTACCAGACGGAGCTGAACGGCCAGAGGAGGCAGAGGGAGAAGGAGAGCGCTCTGCGTCTGGAGCTGGAAGAGAAAATCATGACCTACATGCAGACGAAGCTCACTCACCACAAGGCCGCCCAGTACTCCCAGCAGCTCAGGGCCAAAACCACCTCCCTAAAAAACAAGAAGGTAAAAAATATAGATCTAATTAAGGTAGAACTACAACCAGAGTCTTTACAGAACAGTTTTTCTGCAATCGTTTTGGCCCCAAAGGAAATAATTCACCATCAAATTAACCTTTTTTAAATAGAATCTACACACACATGGAGCCACTGACAGCTCAACCAAAGGTTTTTGGGTGTTTGTTAAAAAAATATAGATCTAATTAAGGTAGAACTACAACTAAAGTCTTTACAGAACAGTTTTTCTGCAGTCGTTTTGTCCCCAAAGGAAATAATTTGCCATCAAATTCAGCTTTTTCTAAACAGAATCAACACACACTGACAGCTCAACCAAAGGTTTTTGGGTGGTGTTAAAAAAAAAATGTAGATCTAATTAAGATAGAACTACAACCAAAGTCTTTACAGAACAGTTTTTCTGCAATTGTTTTGGCTCTAAAGGAAATCATTTGCTGTCAAATTTAGCTTTTTCTAAACAGAATCTACACACACTGACAGCTCAGTGGGTGGTGGTAAAACAAATATAGATCTAATTAAGGTAGAAACTACAACCAAGGTCTAACCTCTTCCTCCCTCAGATGCATCAGGTGCAGCTGCTGGAGAACGAGGCCCTGTCAGCCATTCTGGAGAAACAGCACACGGAGCAACAAGTGGGCCAGCTGGAGCACACCCAGCGAGGCTTGGACGATGAGGTGGCCAAGTTAAACATCTTACTGAACAGCAACCAGGCCAGGTTGACTTCCTCCGTTCAGACCGTGGAGCAGAAACAATCGAAAATCTCCATCTACAACGACAAGATCGCTCAGATCGCCGCCAGCACCGGGGTGAGAGGGCGTGGCCGCCGGTGGTCAGTGAGGACCACCGACTTTAGTCAATAACCAGAGATGTTCAGTAACAAAGTAGAACTACCTAAGTGCTGTACTTAAGTACCAAAATGCAGTATCTGTACTTCCTTGGAATATAGATTTTTTCCCCTACTTTTACTCCACTACATATTTTTGATTAATTTAATACTTTTACTTTTACTTTCACGGGCTGAATAGTTACTCGTTACTGATATGTAAACGTAATGATTGATAGCTCTGTCAGGGTTTGGGGAGCTGGCTCCTCATTGGCCGATTTAAGCCATCAAGCATAGCCTATTTAAAAAAAAAGCCTCCTGAAAAATTGGGAAATCATGGATTTCAAAAATTCCCCATCTAATCTGAAGAAGCATATCAAGGTAAATTAAGAAATACAATGACATATAAGATAGTAAATAAGCGCTAGTTTAGTTCTTCACTCAGGACGTAGCAGCTAACGTTAGCTAAAGCTAACCTAGATGGCTAGCTTTTTGCCCCCCCTCTTACATGATAGCATAAAGGGTCAGCTCAGGATTTTCTTTTTGCTGCTCTTCGGACTTTGGACTGCCTTTTTTTAATATACACAGTACTTTTACTTTTACTTATACTTGTACTTTCGATACTTGAGTAGCAATTTTTGAAATACTTCTACTTGCAATACTTAAGTACAAAAAAATGGAGTTCTCCCGTACTTCCACTTAAGTTAATTTTTTTATACAGTACTTGTACTTCTGCTCCAGTACTTTATACATCTCTGTCAATAACCCTGTTTGACGAGTGTCCTCCTCCCAGCACGAAGACCTGAATCCTCAGCAAATCAGGCTGCAGCAAATAGAAGCTGAGATGGAGGAGCTGGACGCGCGGGCCAGCAGGGACCAGCAGCTCTGGATGGGGCAGCAGGGCGTCCTGGTGGGGCTGACCCGGGAGAGGGAGGCCATCGGCAGGGAGATCCGGATGCTGCACACGGAGATCGTCGGTCTGCAGCAGAAGAAGCTCCGCTTAGAGAGTAAGAGTTTATATAAACACACACACAACTAGCAGTGAAATGAAGCCACCTGTGAAGCCTCTCGGGCTAATTTAGATTTAGGTTTTGTTTAATGCAGAGATGTATAAAGTACTGGAGTAGAAGTACAAGTACTATATAAAAAAATTGACTTGAGTAAAAATTAAAGTGTTCTTTCAACACCATACTTAAGTGGAAGTACGAAAGTACTCAATTTTTTTGTACTTAAGTATTGCTAGTAGAAGTATTTAAAAAATTCCTACTCAAGTATCGAAAGTAAAAGTACAAGTACTGTTTATATGAAAAAAAGGCATTCAAAGGTGTGATAGATATTGTTTATATTATTTCAAACGTGTGAAAGGCCATACAGGTGTTTACAAAAAACAGAAAACTACATCTGCATTAGCAATCAACAATCTACTAATATTTATTATTCCAGTGTCACCCTTTAGGCTAGCATGTAGCATACAGTTAGCCAGCTAGGTTAGCGTTAGCTAATGTTAGCAACTACGTCCTGAGTGAAGAACTGAACTAGCGCTTAGTTACTAGCTTATATATCATTGTATTTTCTAATTTACCGTGATAGCTTCTTCAGATTAGATGGGGAATTTTTGAAGGCCATGATTTTGTAATCTGTCAGGAGGCTTTTTTTAATAGGCTATGCTTGATGGCTCAAATCGGCCAATGAGGAGCCAGCTTCCCAAACCCTGACAGAGCTTTCTATCATTACGTTTACATATCAGTAACGAGTAACGATTCAGCCCGTGAAAGTAAAAGTAAAAGTTTTAAATTATTCAAAAATATGAGGTGGAGTAAAAGTAAAAGTAGGAGAAAAATATATACTCCAATAAAGTATAGATACTGCTTTTGTTACTTAAGTACAGTACTTAAGTAGCTATATTTGGTTACTGAACATCTCTGGTTTAATGCCAGCATGATAATCTCAGCTTGGACTTGACTTTGAGCCGTAATTCAACAGGTCAGATTGAACTTGAGGAGCGAGAGGAGGCCGACATGGAGAGCAGCTCCAAGATGCTGTGGAGGGACCTGGAGAAGCTCAACACCCTCCTGAGCAAAAACCAGCAGCTGAGCCAGGCTCTGGAGCAGGACAACGCCCTGACAGAGACAGACTTCCTCCACAGGATCAAGGCATGGCGGCCCCCCTTTAACCCTTTAACCCTTTAAAGCCTGATCCAAGAAAAATAGGAAGACTATTGGATTTTTATAGTCTGAAGTCTTTCTTTGGCCCCTCAACAACACATGAAGAAAAAAACAGAAATGATTTTAATTAAATTAGCGTGCAATAAGTCAAAAATATATTTTGGTGTAGTCTTCTACTGGCTGTTATATATATATCTGAATGTGTACAACAGGGGTTTGAGCAAAGCTTTTACCACTGAATGATGCAAAAAGTATCAGATCCAAAAGACTTCAGAAACCGTATCTATAAAATATGATATATTTGGCATTATAGGGTTATAGCCTGATCCAAGAATAAATCAAAACAGAAAATTCTTTTTTTTTTGTTTGAATTCTTTATTTGGCTTTTTAACAAAATGTGTAAAAAGAAAAAACAGAAATACATTTTTAATATTAATAATTTATTACTATGCGATAAGTCAAGATTTCTTTTTATGTAGTCTTCTGCCCCCTGTTATCAGGTGTATCTGATTGTGTACAATAGGATTTTGAGAAAAAGTTTTTACCATTAAATTATGCAAAAGGTGTCAGACGCAAAACATTTCAGAAACCGTATGTATCAAATATGACACATTTGGCATTATAGGGTTAATCCCACTCCCCGCCTGCCCCTTTATCTTTACCCCCCCCTGATCATTTTCTTAAATGTGTTTTGGTAGGAGGCGGAGCGGAAGTCGGTCGGCATGGAGATGAAGCTCAGCGAGACGCAGGAGGAGAAGGAGCGGCTGCTCAGCTGCCTGGTGGAGGCCGAGTCAGTCCCTGTCTGTCCCCCCCCCTCTGGCGCCCCGTGTGGAGGGCGGGGGTCGGGCCCCCCCCCTGACGGGTGTGTGTGGCTGTGTGCAGGCGGCAGGTCATGCTGTGGGAGAAGAAGACCCAGATCCTGAAGGAGACGCGCTCAGTGGTGGACTCAGAGATTCACGACGGAGACATCAAGAAAATGAAAGCTGAAATACACCATATGGAGGTACAGAGATCCATCTGTCTGTCTATCTATCTATCTATCTATCTATCTGTCTATCTATCTATCTATCTATCTATCTATCTATCTATCTATCTATCTATCTATATTTATTTGTTTTTTGTCTGTCTATCTGTCCATATTTTTTAATCTATATGTTTTTATCCATCCAACCATCCATCCATCCATCCATCCATCCATCCATCCATCCATCCATCCATCCATCCATCCATCCATCCATCCATCCATCCATC